GAAAATTTAGATTTTCTGGGTTTGAGACCCTAAAAATGTTAGAAAAATTTAGAATATCCGTCTTAAAGACCCTAAAAATGTTAGAAAACTCAGCATATCTGGGTTTGAGCCCCTAAAAAAAATGTTAGAAAATGTATAATATCTGGGTTTAAGACCCAAAAAATGTTAGAAAATTTAGAATATCTGGGTTTAAGACCCCAAAAAATGTTAGAAAACTCAGCATACCTTGGTTTAAGACCCTAAAAATGGACACTATAAGGTAAAAAACTGTAAATATTGCACATTATACAGTACAAACTGTAAATAATGCACATTTTGGTGTAAAAAAATGTAAATATTGCACATTATAAGGTAAAAAAAACTGTAAACGATGCACATTATATTGTAACAACTGTAAATGATGCACATTTTGGTGCAAAAAAACTGTAAACAATGCACATTATAGGGTAAAAAACAGAAAATAATATCACACTATCTGGATTTAAGACCCTAAAAATGTGGGAAAATTCAGAATATCTCTTTGTTTAAGACACTAAAAACGTTAGAAAAATCAGCATATCTGGATGTTCAAAATTGCAACATATCTGGGTTTAAGACCCTAAACATGTTAGAAAATTTAGAATATCTGGGTTTACGACCCGAAAAATGTTAGAAAATTCAGAATATCTGGGTTTGAGACCCTGAAAATGTTAGAAAATATAGATTTTCTGGGTTTGAGACCGTAAAAATGTTTAAAAAATGTAGATTTTCTGGGTTTAATACCCTAAAAATGTTTTAAAATGCAACATATCTGGGTTTGAGACCCTAAAAATGGACATTATAAGGTAAAAAAAACTGTAAATATAGCACATTATACAGTAAAACAATGCACATTATAGGGTAAAAAACTGAAAATAATATCCCACTATCTGGGTTTAAGACCCTAGTAATGTTAGAAAATGCAACACATCTGTCTTTAAGACCCTAAACGTGTTAGAAAACTCAACATATATGGGTTTAAGACCCTAAAATGTTAGAAAACTCAACATATCCGTCTTAAAGACCCTAAAAGTGTTAGAAAACTCAACAAATCTGTCTTTAAGACCCTAAAAAAATGTTAGAAAACTCATCATATCTGGGTTTAAGACCCTAAAAATGGACATTATAAGGTAAAATATAGCACATTATACAGTAAAACAATGCACATTATAGGGTAAAAAACTGAAAATAATATCACACTATCTGGGTTTAAGACCCTAAAATGTTAGAAAACTCAACATATCTGGGTTTAAGACCCTAAAATGTTAGAAAACTCATCATATCTGGGTTTAAGACCCTAAGATGTTTTTAAAAAAATTAGCTTTTCTGGGTTTAAGACACTAAAAATGTTATAAAACTCAGATTCTCCGGGTTTAGGACCCTTCCCCCTCCCTGCTAGCTTGGGAAACAGGCCGTTAGCGGTGTGGAAGTTGGTGGGAAACCCCTCGGAAAGCCGAACAGACGCGGGTGGACTTCCTGCCGCCTGTTCCTCATCAGCCTGACGAATGTTTGCTATGTTCGCGATGCATTCCTGGAATCTGACAAAGTTTGCCTTTTTTTGCATCCACTGGGTCTCTAAGGCCAGTGTTTCTCAACCTTTTTTGAGCCAAGGTACATTTTTTCATAGAAACAACCAAAAATGTTAAACAAATCTGTAGCCGCCTATAGTAACACTATAGTTATTCTTATTTTATTCTTATCTTAAGTGTCTTGAATAGGAATCAAATAAACACAAAAATGTATTTTTATCATATTTTATATTTCTTCTTTCAAATTGCTCTTAACATGTCCACTTCAGTATATAAAATTATATACAAAATCTAGTCATAAGGAATTATTACATGATTACTCCACCAGTCACTAGAACAGCACAGACACTCAAAAATGGCATATTATTTGCAGATAATTAATTCCTTATCAAAAAATCTTTTTAGCCCAATGAGGTGAAATAGGATGATTTTCTACGGCACACTAGTGGTTGAAAAACACTGATCTAAGGAATTTCTCCTCGTGACTTGTGTTTATTAACAAACGGACCCGACTCATACAGGGAAGGAGTCCATTTTAGCTTAAAAACCCCAGAAAAAACAACAAAACGTGCATTCTGGATCCACTTTAACCTCCAGATCTCCTGTTTCCTCCAATCAGGACGCTGCATTTCTGCCTCTCTGTTCCATCTATCTATATTATATGAGGAATTTTATAAATATATATGTTTATATATACATGCAGCTGTTTTATTTATGGAGCCAGTACCAAAAATAATTTCCCTCTGGGATTATTAACTCATTGACTGGCAGCCATTTTCAGAACAGAGTCCCATACTGCCAGAGTTTTTTTTAACATTTTGACTGATTTTTCTAGAGCCACAGAATAGTTTGTGCTATGACTATGTAAACACCGAACACACCAAAAGAAAGAGTAGACTCTCTTCTTTCATCAGGAAAAGAAAAGTGTTTCTACCTTATTCCGTTC